ATTTCTTTTAAGCATTTTGATCATCGTTCTTGTGGAGGAGGAAGTATTTTTACAAATAAATGACAGTCTGATTAAAATGCAAGTAACTGGGATCTGTATCATTGGAGTTTTTTTCTGAAGTAATAATTTTTGTCAGCTAGTGGTATATAGATAGACAATGTTTTTTTTGTTTTGTTTTTTTTTGCAATTGTCTTCCTATCAATTCTCCCGGACCAGTTAGTCTTATTTTTTTTTACTTTTATGACTTATATGATGATTTCATTTTTAAGAAAACATAAGTTTTCTGTAAAGTAAAATCATCCAAGATGTTCTGTTATTGATGAACATTTCAACTGTGAGTATCAACCATATCTGTATATATATATATTTAATTATTATTATTTTTTTATTATTTATCATGTTCTTGTTTGAGCGTCATGGTGGAGCAATTGTTTGCATTTTTCTTTCTTAAGAGTGACTGTATGTTGTATAGTTGTGTGTCTCTTTTTCCCGTAGCCGTCTCATGGGTTTATCCTGCCTTTTTTCTCTTGATTGATAGAAACTGGCACTAGTCCCCCCGGAAAATAAGCAGGTATAGGAAATGACTTTATTGTCTCATGTCTGCATAATGGCATATCGAAAAAACTTTTTTTTTTTTACTCAATGCTTCCCCGGTATTTGAAGAAAAACACTAACCCGCATTCTGCCAAAGTTATCAATAGTTTATTTATCTTCAGTTAAGGCAGTCCATTTCAAAGCATTTCACAAACCACAGTATGATGACAGTATCATGTCTTACACTTGGTTTGGAAATTTTTATTTCAGCATGCAAGTCAGAGATCAAAAGAGGTATGTAAACAACCTGGGTTAAAACAGGAGCAGTGGCAAGAAGAACCCATTCATTGTGTATCCGATAGGAAAAGAATGGAAAGAAAGCATAGATGCAACATGCTGGAAGAGGCTGTTATCTCTAAACAGCACCCTATGTCACATATAAAGCCAGTGGGAGATGCAGTAATCAGGTGAAATGAAGGAAAAACCACCAAACTTCCTGCCACTTTGGCACAAACATGCACATTGTGTACAGAGACTAAAGTTCAACAACTGAACACATGTTGGCACTGGACATTCCTTATACGGGGCTTATTTATGTACATAATTAGAGTTCAGCCTCAAAGATCTGTGAAAAAAAATTAAATCATCTTCCACTAAAGAAAATAAATTGCTCTGTTGCTAAAAAATATAACTCAGAAAGTAATGCTTCACAATTGCATAAGTGATCACTGTGTCCTTGGTAATTTTCATTTCTTTTCCCTGTGGGGAAGTCATGAGCCTCAGGGAAAAGAATAAAAAAAACTTTTCATAATCTGAGAAAAGATGCTCATTAAAAAAACCTTTAATGATTCTGTAGTTTAACTGATTTCTTGTCATAATAAACCCATTAATTCTATCTGAAAAGTGCACTACTTCTATTTCAAAGGTTTCTGCTCTTTTTTCTCTTTTATTCTCACAGACTACGACCTGCATATTAATGTTCATTTATTTGCTTCACGCAGCGAAATACTCTTCTCGTTATTAGGAATAAGTCGTTTTAGACGGAAAAAAAAAAGAAATGCAAATAAGTTATCACAGTAGAAGCTGTTAAATGATGACTCTCTGAGATATTATATTTCTGAAGTGGATATTGTTTTATTTTGTGATAAATGGCTTTCGTTAGAGGTATACTGGCATTTCTGAGTTTTATGCAACTTCACAGCCTTGTTTAAGGTCAGATAACACAATTATTTTTGGCAGCAGATTAAACTCTGCTTCGTCTTCTGAGGGAAAGAATATAATCATTGTGCATTAATCTAAAAAGAAAAAAAAGGTTCTGGACTGACACTACGGAGTTTAGTGTCTCTAAACTGAGTTTCTGGAGACTTATTAAACCTTTAAAGCTCTGTGAAAGCTTTCGGAGCAACAGGACTTAGAAAACAAATAGGAAACAGCAAATAAGTACTTTTTACATTAACATACAGTAGATAACTTAAAATAGTCATATTCTATGATAACACAATAAACTCATGTTAACATTGGTTCTCCACTTTCATCCAATTACACCTTGAATAGAAACAAGATGAAAAGAAAAGTGATAGCACAAACCGTCTTAATGAAACCCATGCTAAAAGTGATTAATGTAAATAGCCACAGTTAAATTGTAAACAATTCTTGGTTTTAAAAAGTGTACAACATGGCTTAGCATTTACCTCAAAGAATATTAGGGAAGAGCAACAGGTATAAAAGATACAGAATTCTGATGGACACAGAGTGACTAAACAGCTGCCACTGCAACAGTCCCAATCATCTCCAACAGTTTCTTTGTGCACATGTTAAACACCTGGGTAAACTGAATTTGGATATGTTTTTAATACAGTAGGCACATCCGGGTCAAAGCATGTAGTGATAGGGAGAAAGAGGAGAAGAAAATAAAAATGTATCTTCTAAAAGATAATGTAATGAACTAAAGTTTAAACTGTCACAACAAAATGTATGATTATTATTGGTACCCCTGGAAATATGAGTAAAAAAGACTTGTATGTATGTATTTATATTTTGCTGCATTGACATAATCTCACTCCAAAAATAAAATCCACCTTTTGTACATTCAATGGGTTAATAATCCCCTTTAAGAAGTTGTTGGACAAAAAAAAAATAGCTGTTGCTCATTGGCACTCCTCACATTTCTTATAAAACCCTGTAAACATTACTTTTTTGTTTTATTTAGCTTGTTTAAACTAATCAGAGTGTCCAAACATTGTTTTCCAACAATGTCATCACAACTCAGCAAACTGCCTAAATTTTCCCTATCACTGGCAGAACCAAGATGAGGTTTAAATCTACTGAAAATTATTAAAAATTGAAGGTGAACGCATAGGGAATATTTTGGTAAGGAATGTAATCTTAGGCTCTGTTTGAAAGTCCACCCTAACCCCTAGATCCTTCAATCGCTATATAGATCGGGACTATATAGTGGACTTTATAATGAAGTCAGTTAACTGGCCGTTCGGAGCGATGATCTACTTACCACTCCCCATTGGTCAAGTGACTCTGCCTCGCCACACGGTGCCTGCGGCATCATTGCTATTAGTCACCAATGTCGGGTAGCGACAGTCGTAGGCGACAGCGGGCCGCTGTGACAACAAATCTCACGAAAAACAAATCCCATCTCCTCTCCTAAAATCCTATGAGAGCCCTCCTCACAAAGCATTCCGGAATATATCTGCTTGTCTAGTGACCATGGATGATCACTACTTTTCAAGCTGCTTTGTGGGAACATTTCGAGTCCACTACTTTTTCATCCACTAGACATTCAGACACTCATTTAAAATGGCGTAACCACTATATAGTTCCCTACATAGAGGTTAGGGCGGACAGTCGGACACAGCCTTAGTGTTGGTAGGTCTGTATAACAACCATAGATCAGCTTTTTCTTTGTTTGCTGTTTTTTTTTTCTTTTTTCATGGGGCCTTAATCTGAACTGTGTACTTTGGTCAGATTAGATTTGCATTGATTCTATTGGCAGCATGAGCTCCAGGTGGATTTAGTGTGAAATAACTTAACTATAGTTTAAAAAAGAAGATCATGAACACTGCTGAGCATAATGGAGGATCTGTTATGGTAAAGTGTTTGTCTCTGTTTTTTACAGTCCTGAGTACCTTGCTCAACTGAATTATAATCAGGGTATTTTCATCAACATATAACCAAATCAATGAAGAGTGGGCTTACATCATACAATAAAATCAATCAGCTTTCCCAGTGTGCAGGCCTAAATCCTATACTCATCCCTCTAAATCATTACATCTGGGGTTAAAGGTTGGATTGTTAGAAAATCTTCAGTGTCAAGCTACTGCAATTAAAGATTCATCCATGCCTTTAAGAGTCTAACATTTTCTAACTAAGGGATAGAAAAGTGTAAAAGGGGTGCACGAACTTTAACGATATACTACAAAACAGCTGTCTAAGTAAAATAACGACGTTTCAATAGCAGATGGAAAAATACATAAAGAGAAAAACAACTGCATGTGAAGTTATGAAAAACAGTAAAGACAAACAGCTGACCCAGACTGAGTGCAGTCAAGCTTAAACGGGGCCTAGTTTAATACTCCCAGTAATACTTGTTTTTGTTGAATAAAAAAAAAACATACACGTGTACTCTCTTAAAACCAAGTTACCACTAGGAAATGATTTCTCATAGTTATGGCCTTCCTCAAGATCTAAATACATTTAAGGAAGAAATGATGGGAGAAAGTTGACATCAGATTTAAAGAATAAAGGATCCTTCAAAGGCCAAATTACCAAATAACAAAAAAAAAAAAATAATGGTAGGAATATAATTGTAAGAAATACAAGTAGGATGGGAAAAGAATGTCACTTCAATACAATTGACTTTTTTGCATACAGATAGCAAAGACGAGGTTGTGCTAGGAATTATGTAGTTATTTTCATGTAAACATCCCGCTCATTATGGTAAGCAAAATATAGTTTGATATATAAGTATATTCAGCATAATATTTCCCAAATAATAATTTTGTCTAAAATACTAGAAGAGAATATTAAAGCTGTGCCGTAATGCAATGTTATCCTTCTCATTATTTTTATTATAGATGATTTTCGAAAATAAAAGTATTTAGCTAAACAATATGAGGACTTTGTGCTTTTGTTTTGACAGTTAGTGCATTTGTTTATATAAAGATTAAAAATACATATAAGAAATGAAAATCTGTATATTCACTACGTAGACTATGTAACAGCTCACGATAAAAAAGAATCCTAATGAGAGAAAATGTATTCCCATATTGTTGGATGATTTGATCACATGCTTTTATGGTATAGTCTTTATCAAAGTAGAAATGGGGATTGTTTTCTAATGCTGGTCACAAAAAGTAATTTTGAAAACTACTTGGTATGTGCTTCCCTCTATCCTCTTATTTGAATCAAAAACCAATAAAATCTCCTGAAAAAAAAAAAAAAGATTATGCTAGATTATCACATAAACTCCAGAAAAATATCACTAACAAAATACAAACTGGCACATCCTAATATGTGTAAGCCTTCAACAAGGCCTTTCCTACAGACTCACTCTTCGTTACATCACCACTTTGACAGGTTTGACAGCAAACACCTAAAACTTCCCTCTGCACTGCTCTCCTCTCAGCGCTCTCAAAGAATGAAACATTCTGATTATCAACAAGTTCCTCTTCAGCTGTCTTACTACTCCGACTCATCGTGGAGTTTTATTGTGTTTCATTGGAGTAAAAATGCCCCAAAGCCTCTCCACTGTGTGCTCAAAGAATCATTTGTATTAATCTGTGAAGCGACCCATTCAAGGCAGTGCCTTGTGGTATGCAGAGATCAAACAGACTCAGTCTCACGCTGCTCACAGGATGAGTAAGGTGGGGGGACAGGGTTGGGTTTGATGGCTCTGCTCTTCATGTAGGAGATCAGCTGATCGGGGATTTCAGCCAGAACATCCTTGGCCAGGCGTGCCATGCTAAGGACGTGGTTACCTGTGCGGTCCATGTAGTCTCTGAATGGTACAAACTAGAAGACAAAGGAGAAAATGATTTCTCTTCTAAATATGATATGAATAGATATGAAAAATAAGTTACATTTTCATCCAGCTATTACAAAACTGAGAATGGTGAATATTTTATAGAAAAATGTGATATTAAAATATTTTTAGTTTTGTGAGAGTACGTAACCATGTTTAGATACAGTATATAATAGATAATAATAATTTGCACCCGTTTTAGATCTACCTGATATTTTTTTCTTTTTTTTGCTAAATGGAAACATAACATATTCTACGGCACATCATTTAAAAAAAAAATAAAATAAAATGAATTCTTATTTTAATGTTTTACATACATTTTTGATGAAATTATGTAATCTGTCATGATCTTGGCACTAGTGGCTGGCCTAATGCTCATTTCTTTCACCTGTCTAATTCTGCCCAGTTTCCATATACTGCTCATCTAATCCACCTGCTCCTGCTTCTATATATACGGCCCAGTCCTAACAATCGGGGCCTAATCATTGATGCTCTACTTCATGTTCTCGTTCTCAAAGGCCAGGGGAGAGAGGGTTTTTTGCATTTCGTAGTGGTCCTGATATCCTGACCTGTTCTGCCTCTCAAGCACTGAGCCTTCCGGTTCCCGTCTGAACATTCTTCCTGAACTATCTGTGGATTCCTGGAACCCTAAACCAGCCTGTTCCTGTTCTGATTGGTTCCTGTTCCGCAGCATCTGGTATACTCTAGGCGTTGCCCGCAGCATCTTTTTTGGCAGCCCACTGGCTGGATCCTATCTAATTTTCTGGAGATAGACTGAACTGTTAAACCAGAGTTTCCAGTCATAGACATCCTAGCCGCAGCCGCTGCAGATCTGCAGCTCCACTTCTGCTATGTTAAATAAAAGCTTTAAAGTATCCCACGGTCGGTCTCGCCTTGAGTACTGGGTCATGAAATTTTGAAAATAAAAGGACTCTTATGTCTTCTCTGACATTTCGCACATTCTCCCAATGGACAATACTTAGTGAATCACCATTTCCTGCTTAGAATAAGAAGAAGTATATAATTATGCTGTTTAGACAACACTATTCTTCCACAGGAGTAGCTTATGCTGGTCGCTTTAAAATAAGAATTTTTTGGTGACCAGGTGTGTCCAAAAACTAGTCCGTGCCTTTAAACTGCCTTTAAAGGGGAACAACATTTTTTTTTTTTACATTGGCCATCATACACACTCCACTTTGTTTAAAAAATATATAAATATAACAAATATAACCGTGGATGTTTGGGGGACAGTGATTGGCCTACATGTTATGAATGCTGGCGTACCATAAAGAATAAATTATGAACAGTATAGTTTGTGCCTTCAATCTGTTGCCCATAGGAACACGTTACTTGGTTATAACCTAACCAAATATCTTCTGAACAGCTCCAAATGACACAAAGCTCATATGGGTGACTAGAACATGATGTAATAACATAAAATCAAGGGGCCAATAAAAAAAACGGCATTCTCTTTTAACATACACCATCCCATAACTACACTGTCATTACTACACCACCACCTTGAGAGATAGCTGCTGACAGTTGCATAAATTGTTTATGCTAATCAGTATCCTGATTTGCCACCATTGTGAGGTGGATAGATTATATCAGCAAAGTAGAAGTGCTCAGCAATACAGATTTGGACAGATTTGTGAACAATATTCTTTTTAAAGGCCATCTGTATAAAAAGTCTTTAAACTTTAGTTAAGATCAAGAAAATATTTACCAAGAAGAAAGTTAAGTTTATATTTATGTTTAGTACATATCTCAAAACTGGAAATATGGCATGAATTTTTAGGACATAATTGATTTATATATTTAGCAAACGTTGGGCTGCATGCTGCTTGCCTAATGAAAACATGAAAAGTAAATTGAATGTCAGTTATTGTTCCCATTTTGAGATTTGACTGCAAAAGTTGACATTTTATCTTAGAAAAGCCCTTCAAAATATATAGTCCAAGTCACTCAGCTTGTGATATATACAAGAACATAAGCAGAAGAAATTTAATTTAAGGTGGTCAGGTTAAAGGAGGACGTAACATGACATGCACTAAATGAAATTTACATCTTCAGGTACTGTATAGATTTTGAAAAAAGAAATGTTTTTTTTTTTCCATTCTTTTGGGTCAATAGAAAAAGAATCTGCTGTAAGAGGAAAATGACAAAAATAACTTACCTGCACAATGTCTCGCTCTGCCAACTTCCCTCTTGATGAGATTCTGACATCATCGCCATCCAGCTCAACCATTGCTACAGAGACGGAAATATTTTGATCATATAATCCCAATTACGCTGTGATATTAATAGATTAACACTTTTTTTTCTTTAGATGAGTCGTTAGGAAAGGGAAAATTGTAATTAAACTTTAGTTAATGATACTTGTGGAAAATATCTGTTTGTAAAAAGCATGAGCTTGTTGAATGAAGCCCATTACAGGCGCAATAGAGGGATGACAACAACAATATTTCCGTTGAATTCTCACCATCAAACTCAGCTTGGCCAACTCCAACAATAATGATAGACATCGGAAGTTTTGCACCCTGTCATAAAAACAAAAGAAGCACCAGCAATCAGTGGGTGTATGACAAAATGTTAGTGCATTTTGACTTGTAAACATAGAACACATAGTTTACTGAGTTGCAAAGCTTAGTGAGGAAACACATCATTTAGATGCAATGCAAAACCCTGTAAGAAGTCCAGTTTACAAACAGGTATGAAATAAATAGGTCAAAAATAGATTTAAAAAAAAAAGTTGTGAGACTTAATGACAAAAAAAGAAAACATATAGACAGCCCAGTCCTGCAGATAAAGTACATGAGTGTATGTGAAAATATCACTCTGTCTCATATGCCTTATTCATTAGGTCAGCAGACAGAAATGCACCACAGTATACTTTAGAAACACCCGATTGTAGCTTTGTATTTAACTCCATTTAACCCTAAACAAGGATTAAATCTTAATACTGTGGTTTAATAAGGATCATTCTGATTTGTGGTGCAGAGCTACATGCACTTAAAACACGGCACTGATGCTCAATATATGAAAGCTCTGGCATGAATGAATGATATGTGCTTGTGGTAAAAATGCATTTGCAGGGTGAAAGTAGGCCAGGCTTCCTGCAAAAACCTCCCCAAGGGAGAGGTCTGTCACAGATAGGAGTAAATAGACTGCAGAGGACCACCCCTTTCACAGTCTTTATCAATTTTCCCCCTCTAACTCTTTTTCCATTTTTATCTTTTCCACTTCATTCGTTCCTCAAGAACTTTCCCACTTGCTCAAGAAATACATATTCAGTTTGCTCCTTTTCCCTTAAGATCCCACAGGCACATACTATACCTATAAATGCCAGATCAAATCCTCTTTTCAGAGCTGAATTATTCAGTCTACACCATTTGTTACTTTGCTTGTACTGTAAAGTCACTCAGGGGACCTCACTCCAACATGAATTTAGACTCTCACAATCGAAGACCACAAGAAGAATCTCAAGATGTCCGAATTGTGATAAAAGAACCAGCTGTAATTAGTATAAAAAAGCTTGATGAATCAAAATAAGATTTTACAGAAATAAGTAATCTCTTTTGAAGAAGAGAAGAATACGGAAATCTTTGTTGGTAGATTATACTCCTAGATCAGATGGAGCTCTTGAAACCTAGCTTGAAATGAAAACCTATATGAAGGATTGATCAATTGAATTAAGAATCAGCAAAAAACTCATATGTGCAGAAACTGCTGGCTTCTTTAAAACAGCTCTAAAAAGGTTTTTTTTAAAGCTTGTTTTTATCATAGATTTTTATTGAATTAATTTTTTGCTTCTTTAACATAACATACAAAATCAAAAATTTAATCTAAATTTGAATTTAAATTAGCATTCAATTCCTCTGTTTTAACATTTGTTGCTTTTATTCAATGATTTTAAGTAAATTAAATTGGATTTGACAAACTGCAGAGACTCTACTGTAGTTCTATGGTGGTTAACCCCCTCCCCCCCACTATCTACTCTATTCTACCCTGAAACAGTTGGCCCAAATTTTGCGTTTTAAAAAGGCTGGGTTCTTTGGGTAGTATAGATTACTTCTATCTGTTGAAAGCTATTACTTTTTGGCAAAGGATGAAAAAAATCTACTTATACAGTAAAAGGTCAGAAATTTCACATAACCTTAAATACGTATATCCTTACTTTAGGTAAGATTTGTGGATTAAATAGGTCAAACAAGAAATATTCCACATACACCTTCACAGTTTTAATTTTTCTTGGTTGATTTAAATATGATAACATGTTTATATTGGTAAAGTGTATTTATCCTAAATTGTATATTTAAAAAAAAAATAATCTCTTTATCTCTTACTTTATTAATCAAATGAATATGCCATTCCATTGTTTACTCAGCATGATGATTTATGTATTAAGTAATGCATTGCTAAGAGATTCAGTCAGATATTATTAGACCTTATGGCACTGCCTCGTTTTATCAGGGCTCAGGCGTTGTTTAAATGATAAGAGGAACATTTCTCTGTTTTTGTTGCTGAACCAATATAACTGAAGCTTAACATAAAAAATGGGTGCAAATTGCTCCTAAGTGCTGGACTTTGTGGTTGTGTTTGCAGCTGCATGTATTTAATGGGATCTGCTTTATAAATTAAGTGTAGAAATGAACAAATAGCAGCTGGAATCGCATTAGTGTCACAACGTATCGACATCATTTACAGCCTTAGCTACTAAAAACTATGCATTTATTATGAGCAAATATTTATAGAAAGTACTTGATAAGAACATAACACTTAATGTAGGAATGAGCGGCCATTTTGATTAGGTTTTAAAGAACGGCATGCTAAATTTGTGAAGGAGCTGAAATTAAGGGTCCAGTCTATTGGTGAATAATTCTGATTATTGTAATGTGCATTGAACGTTAAAATTGCTATTGAATTTAGAAAAGCACAATTTACCTGAAACTAGATTTCAAACTCAAAATTTTGCATTAAAAAGAGGGTCATGAATATGACACAACTTACTGTTTCATAAAATCTTCATATTTAGCCCCACTTGAATGAAAATTTAACACCAGTGTGTCACCAGCTTCAGTCACTGTCATTTGTATAGCCTAAAATATCCCAAACATTGAAAAACGTGCTACGAAGAAAAGTGTTGTAATAATCTTTGTGATTTGTCTCTGCAGAACGAAGCCTGAATGCAAAAGGATATCCAGGCTTTAGCTCTGTAGACAGAAGTGGGAGAATCCTGGTCCTGGCAGCAGTGAGTGAGTTCAGGTTGAGCAGAGAGCAGAGCAGCAGACAAGATCTTAAAAGGAAGGTGTGGCTGTTCGAAAAGTTTGATTAACAGTCGCAAATTCCCTTTAAACCCAGTCTGCTGGGGGTCAGAGTGCTGTTGCTGGGAAGGTTTACCTGGACGATGATTATTCCTGAACAAACATCAGACCAAAACCAGCTGTACGGTACAATAAACATGCAGAATGTATTAATTAAGTAACAAACAAAAAATGTAAATAAAAGCTATTTTAAGTTGTCAACATGCACTAGTTTTCAGTTAGAAAGATGCATATTATTGCATATTAAACCATAAATGCTGAGCAGAGTGCAGAAAAAAAATACTAAAAATCTCCCGAATCTACCATTTGGCTTTTAAATTCTCAGAGTAACAGAAAAGCCGGAAAGCTGCAATGAGATAAACTAAAAGAACCTGAAATGCCAGTGTATTATAAGGCAGCAGAATGCTCAGAAAGACATCAACATCCTCCAGGTAGTGTAGAGAAGCACTTACATTCACTATTGCCTCCTTGGTCTGAGCCATGTCTGATATTACTCCATCTGTAATGATGAGCAGGACAAAATACTGAGATCCATCCTGCACAGCTGCTGCATACCTGGGTCAAGGGAATAAGGAGGAGAGCATGAGGCACATCAGAATAAAGTAGAGTTTGAATAATGTTTAAAAAGCCACATGGGCAAGGCTCTGCACTGAATGCTGAGAGTGGCAGAAGCAACCGAAGTGAACATCTAAGAGCTGCAGAGAAATAACTGCAGTGTCAAATATTTTAAGAAAAGATGAAAACATGTCTCTGCACTGAGTGACACATTAATGTATTATAAACATGGTAAATGCTAAAATATTCTGTATAGCTTCTCAAAAGTCTTTACAGATAGCATTAGAGAACCCATCAGTGATACCACTGTGAGAGTGTCCTAGTTTCAATTGCCCATCGCTGGCTGCCCTATGAATAATTTATGAAGCAGTTTTTGCAATCGCAGCAGTCTTATTCTTTCAGAACACTATTGATTGTCTAGCACCAATAACACCAGCTTTGATGAGCCAGAGGAGGAAGATGACAAACAGGATCACTGCAGGTGCCAAGGATAGGTCAAAGGTGAGCCCTTACGTTTTACCACACCCTTTACACCAGCATGACAAATGTGACTGCAAGATGCTGGCATTTTAATCACAGTGTGCAGCTGGGAGCAGCCTGAGCGATGACAGTGTTTAGAGATTGAAGAGACATTTAACCTCTTCAACTTTATTATAAGTTTAAGATCCTTCCCACTTTTAGGTGCAAAGCCAAACACAGATTCCTACATTTATCAAACAGAGAATGAGAAGATTAAAAGTATGAACCATTAATCCCCCAGGTTTATATCTAATAACCAGTATGTATCATACATCAGTGTTATATAAGCCCTTAACATCATAAGCTGCTTTAACCAGCCACAAAAAAATATATGTCCTTCTGGAACAGATGTGACAGCCGTAGTCTGCCCATGTACAATAAGAAGTCATTGTTTCCTTTCTGGTTTTTAAATGGCGGTTTGTACTTCATCTGCAGGGTTTCGTTATTCTTTATTCCTGTCACATCATCATTAAAGTTTTTTTTTTTTTTTTATTCCACTAATTTCTACACATATTGGCCTCTGAGAAGAAAAAAAAAGTTTTAACTGTACAACTTTTAGGTAAATTTCATTAGCTTTAAACTAAGACTGTAAACAATCATAATCTGACATTTCAATATGTATAAAAGCCTTCTGGGCTGTTTTAATGTATTTATTTTTGTGTTTAAAAAATAAGATAGCATGGCCTTTAAGGAAAGTTGTTCCTATAAGGTTTAGTACGGTGGCTGAGAAGTGCAAAACACATTTACAATTCAAAAACACATTAACAAATAAAAAACAAAATAACATTTGAAGAAACAAAATTATATTTTATGAAACAATTTATTTTTGAAAAAAAAGTTACAATTTTTAAAAACACATTTACATTTTAGCAAACAAATTTACATAAAAAATAAACAAAATAACATTTGAAGAAACAAAATTATATATTATGAAACAAATGTATTTTTGAAAAAAAAAGTTTACATTTTTAAAAACACATTTAAAATTCAAAAACACATTAACAAATAAAAAACAAAATAATATTTGAAGAAACAAAATTATATTTTATGAAACAATTTATTTTTGAAAAAAAAAAAGTTTAAATTTTTAAAAACACATTTACATTTAAGGAAACAAATTCACATTTTAAATAAGTTAGATTTTAGGTGAGAGAAAGTTTCATTTTAGAGAAAAAAAATACATTATAGGGAAACAAATTTACATCTAAAAAAAAATTGACCGTTCGGAAACACTTGTACAAGTGCAAAGACAAAACTTCAAGTGGCAAAACACATTTACATAGCCAAAAACAAATTAACAAAAGACGGCTACACGGAAAGGGAATGTCCCAGTGACAGAAAGGCAGACCAAACCAGCGCATTCAGCTCGGCAAAGAACTCATGCTCTTCCTCAACACTGAAGTCCTCAGACATTTTTCTTTCGTTGTTTCTTTCTTTGCACAGGTAAACAGCACATTTCTTCTTCTACGCTTGCATTATTGGCAGAGCAGACGCTGAATGTGCACTTTCATCTGGTTTGGTCTGCCGGCTTCCGTAGCGTCATGAGCGCGCATGTGCGCGCTTTCAGGAAATCCTATACACTACTGTTTATGCTCTAAAAACATTCTAAATGACTTCGTTTCGAGTAAATTCTGGATGCTACCCACTCAGGACACTTGGAATACATTGGACGAGCAGTATGGAGGAATATTGACACGTTTTTTGTGGACTTTTATGGATCTTTCTGTCTCGGTCACCATAGACCTCCATCATTTGAATGTCAGCAGACAGCAAGAAGCCTCCCAGATCTCCAGATGCATTTGAGATATCAAAAAAGTACTCCAGAGTGTTGTTCAGCATGGGGGTGAGTAGAAAATGAAGGCTAATCATGTTTTGGGTGTACTATTCCTTTAATAACCTGTATTAAAATGTATTCTTTATGGGTTTCTTTTTATTGTGATGTTAGTGCTTAATAAACTGCATTAAAACTTTTATAATGTCACATTTACTTGATGGAACGGAGTACTTTATCTGCGAATAAGTGGCCTCGGCCGGCAGCGGCCACCATCGGCCTCTCCGATGTCAGTCTCTGCCGGCAGCGGCCACCATCGGCCTCTCCGATGGCAGGCTCTGCCGCAGCCGCAGCCACTGCCACGAATTGAGCTCGGCCCTGCTGCTTGGTCCTGCCACCTTGTACCGTGTCCCGTAAAAGTTCCAGAGACCGTCCGCACGAAGAACAAAATGGTGTAAATTGGCTGAAAACATTGTTCGGTTAGCGTAAACTTAAGAAAAACAGCTTCAGTGCAATTCTTTCCATCTAAAATCGCCGCTGACGTTTCACGTGAAGCAGGAGGACTACAGATTGAGCTGTTTGTACTACAAGTCAGGGTAATCGTGACGTCACATCCGGCCACGGGGACATTCCCTTTCCGTGTAGCCGTCTTTTGTTAATTTGTTTTTGGCTATGTAAATGTGTTTTGCCACTTGCAGTTTTGTCTTTGCACTTGTACAAGTGTTTCCGAACGGTCAATTTTTTTTTAGATGTAAATTTGTTTCCCTATAATGTATTTTTTTTCTCTAAAATGAAACTTTCTCTCACCTAAAATCTAACTTATTTAAAATGTGAATTTGTTTCCTTAAATGTAAATGTGTTTTTAAAAATTTAAACTTTTTTTTTCAAAAATAAATTGTTTCATAAAATATAATTTTGTTTCTTCAAATGTTATTTTGTTTTTTATTTGTTAATGTGTTTTTGAATTGTAAATGTGTTTTTAAAAATTTAAACTTTTTTTTCAAAAATACATTTGTTTCATAAAATATAATTTTGTTTCTTCAAATGTTATTTTGTTTATTTGTTAATGTAAATTTGTTTGCTAAAATGTAAATTTGTTTTTAAAAATTTAAACTTTTTTTTCAAAAATACATTTGTTTCACAAAATATAATTTTGTTTCTTCAAATGTTATTTTGTTTTTTATTTGTTAATGTGTTTTTGAATTGTAAATGTGTTTTGCACTTCTCAGCCACCGTAGTTTAGCCTTGATTTTTTTTTTTAGCCCTGTCAGTTCTGTTTTCTGTATTGACAATACCTAATTTTTTATAGTTGAGTATATGATCGATTTTAGTGCAGTTTTTGTTTGATATTAAAAATAGCTCCTTTCTTAAACAAGCCAAATGTTCCTCACACTTTAATATTGATACTGTTCATTGTTGGAGCGAGTTGTTGGAATATTAAACATAACATCTGTCTGATTTTTGTTGGCCTGTGATGCAGTGCAGTTTTTGTTAGCTGCTATTATGAGTTGCTGTTTTTTCTCATGACCATTTGCTTTATCTCATGTTTAACTGCTTTGAGTACTCCTGTTATCCTCAAACCAATATCATCCTGACTTGAGTCTTCAGTGAATTAACCTTCGGGTAGGGGGTCAGATCCAAAGGGATATACCTATGTTAATTAAATGGAAGACACCAGGACACCTAGAGTCATGCCTTGGAGAATAGTCCCAGCACTGAGTGTCTGATTTGTGGCCTGTTGGTGGCTCCTGCGGCACAGCTAGGCTACGCCTGCAAATGTTACAGGAAGCATCCTCCATCTCAAAAGTCTCCAGGGAAAAACATTGGGATTGGGTCTCATGCAAACTAGGTGAAAGGCGAGGAGAAGGACCGAGGGATGCTAATTAGAGAGAGGCAATTGGGAGAAACAGCTTCCCAAAAGTAAATATTTGATGTTTTGTTAATAAACTTCTGTGCTATATTTTACAGTAGATCTCTCTTAAAAAGACTTGTATGATAAACTTCTGTGCTATATGTAGGATCTTTCTAAAAAAAAGTTGAGATAGCAGAAAGTCGTTCATACTGTAAATCTTGCATAGAGCAACCTTGTGCCAGAGGTTTATTGATCAGTTTTGTAACAATCACAAACGTCTTTTGTGTTTTGCCTTGAATGCTAAGGTGAAGATGGATCCTTAGCTGTAAAACTAATCATTGCCTTCAATTGAATTGGATCCTGGAGAGCCCTAATATACTGAACAAGTCAGTAAAATAATATGCTACATGTTACATGGACCTCTAACATTTAAAGTATGTTGTGATGTTGAGACATGCAACCTAAATAGGGCATGTTCAGAGCTTTAATTGTAGACTAAAGCTTCTAGGAGCTATGCTCTATAGGTTATTGCCAGAATGTCTGTTGTTATAGCTGCAACTAAAGGTCCCTGTTTTAATCCCCAATTTTAATATAAACCTTTAGGATGAGGAAGGAGGAGTTTAGTCCTTGTCCTTACAGACCCAACCATTTCACTGTGATGCAACATTGTGCACCAAGTTTTTAGACAACAGCAACCTATTTACGGCCAAACTTTAGAATCTATTAGATTTTAAAGTCTGTCCACAAGTCACTGTTAATATAGTAATTGAAAAAAAGTTGTTCTCCAACAGATTTAGCTGTTTAGTTTAAGATTTGGTCTAAAGTAATACGACATCTCCCAACATGCTGATAAAAGAGTTCTTTAATTGTAATAGAAAAGGAGAGAAAAAAAAAAGTCAAATGGAGGGAAGTGAAAATGATGGTTTAAAACTAAGATAAGTTATAATTGGTTCCAAGTCGACCTTAATTTACACTTCTGAGGTCAGAACTCTAGAAAGGACTGATGAATTATGAAATCATTGAGAACAGATTCTGTAATGTTTAGTATTTCTATGAACCAGTGACGTGCGGTCAGGGGAGGCAGGTGAGGCAGTGCCTCACCAGCCATCATGGAAAGAAAGAAAATATATAATCATAAAGTAATTTAAATTGTTATATTCATCCGGTGGTTTGTACTAAAAAATATTCATTTTTCATGTAGCTTCACCAATTTCGATTTTTATTTGTTCAAAATCGCTGAATTTTCTTATTTTCCCATTCAAATGCTTGGAAGCGATGCCGGTGAGGCAGCAGCGAGCTCTGCCTCACCTTGGATTGCGCAACCCCTGGCTCTGCGCTGGCTGCAAAGCGGAGAGAGCATGTTGCTGTACGGCGTCAATAAAATGGTTTAAACAAATGTAATATGTGAACTTATTTCTAATAATTTGGCTTATGTATATAATGTACAGAGCTTTTTGTCACCAACTGTGTTTGTGTAACGTGTTTCGTGTAATGAGCGATTATAAACGGCAGAGAACAAGTTCGAGGTGAGGCAGGCAGTTCTCTTGCCTCATGGCAGGGGGTGCTCAAGAGACTGAAAACATAAGGCAGGAACAGGACGGATCAAGGAAGGCTTTCTTCCCTGGCAGTGATCTCCATTGAGACAGAGAGACTTTTAAAACTGAAGGAAGATAAGGAGGACTTCTATTCATTTATAAGTAAAGGTAAGACAGTAATAACATTTATTTTGTTTTGTTTTTTAAGGAAATGTGTGTTTTGTGAGCTACAGTTTGTATGTGTAAGGATGCAGAAGTGAAACATAACCTGTAAACTGCTGTCAATCTATGCATCTATTTGCAAATCTGATTCTGATGACGTCAGTGCCTCACCAGCTATGAACCTCACCGCACGTCACTGCTATGAACCTACATTTTAATATATAAACCCATGATTCTGTAATGATAAACAAAATCTCTATGTATCAGATGAAGATACAATATGGAGTTATTTACATATTATATATTAACACAAATATTTTAATTAAAACAGGACCTTTAACGAACCACCTGTGCTTTGTATTTAATAAGCTACAACTAAGATGTTAGAGATGGCTGGTGTATTAATTTGCTGCCTTGTGACCCATGGACATTTATATCATTATGTGAAATTACATCATGTTCCGCATTTACACTAACTCCTTTATTGAATAGGTCAAGTTATCAACACTTCTAGAAAGATGACATGACATGAAATAATATATCTGTAGCTCATGTGACCTTTCCTTCCCCCTTTTATCATTTTATATGTATAATAATAAAGTAGTGAGTACTCTTATACATCTGCCCTCATATGTGCCTAATTTTCATTTTTTTCATCTTTGCTTTGCAGCTGACTGTTTTCCCCTCATTAGTTCTGAGAGAAAACCTCCACATAGGCTTAAAATATCTGGTGCTGTAGATACCTTATTTACAGACTGACTTCCAAAGAGTAAGTAACTGCGCTCAGATTTATTCACAGCAGGAGATCTTTGTGTTCATACCTTGCCACATGATTAACAACAGGAGCGAAGTTGGTGGGTCCATACAGCTGAACCGTCTTAAGGCTTTGATGGTAAGCTTCAAGAATCCCCTCGATACCATTACAGTACGGGTTCTCAACATTGCCATTCTGAAAGAAACAAAACAAGAGCTTTACAGCAAAAATAAATAAATAAATAAATGCATGTGGTATAAAGCTGTAAGATTAGAAAGTAAGAAACTAATGCTAACAATTCCTATAGTATACAATACTGACAGACTTTTAATCAGATCAAATTCCTTTCATCTATATTGCACATTTGCTTACATGGGCAGAATTAACAAATTCAACTCAGTTCCTACAGCACATATATCTGGAGCCTAAGCTACCTGCTAAATATCCTCTCACTGGTGTGCTTCAAGCTCAGTGTAATCAGATCTTCCATAGAAACTGAAAGGCAGACAAGAAAACTCTGAAAGAGTTGCAGTAATCATAACTTAGGTGGAAAGGACTAACAAAGGACACGTAATGGCTGCATATATCAAACATATGGCTTTTAAGGATGGAAAGATGAATGCTCCTCTAAGAGGAAAGCCTTAATCATAATTCTCTATATATCATGCAAATATGTAGAAGAATATGATACCATCAGGGAAGAATAAAATCGATGTATATCAACCTAAACACAAAGTGAAGCATGATAAGACCAAACAACCAAAATAATGCACCTAACTAGGGAGTGGGGTGTAGAGTTATCTTTCTGATCTTTCAGTCCATTTCTAAAAATACATAAAAACCAAAACAAATGTATAACGACAAAATACAATTTGACCACTAACAAGATTGACAAAAGTGACCTGACTTATGTCCTTGGTGCTTGCTGAAAGTTCGCTGTGCAGCTGTAATGTAAATTTTCTCAACAGTCCAAAGGTTCTCAATTCTCAAGAGCACTTCATTAAGAATGATCTCTTTGCTCTCCTGCCCAGCTTTCCCTATAGACTCTGACCAGTAACACTATACCCTTTTACAAGGATGTTATAGATTTTTTTCCTGTCTCTCTCTTCGACAACTACACCCCACTGAGAATAGAACAACCAGGAGGAGCTGAGAACCGAGAGTGTTTAAACTAGCGGAGTATCTTGTTACCTAGAGCTTAAACTACTGAATAAAGAAGCTTTATGTTTAAAAGAACAACCCCTGTCTAAAATGTAACCTTAAATCTGTCAGTGTTTTAGAGTTCTTTTTTTCCCCTTAAGAATTATGCTCCATGCTCCATTAAAACTGTAGGCCAGACTCTGAGGGGCAGAGTGACATTTTTGGGGGAAAGAAAAAAAGAGATATCACCAGAGATCAGCTTGTCAAACCTTGCTTCAAATGCTATCTTCCTTGACCGCGGGGCAAATTTCAAGCCATGACACTGTATCAAATGTTCCATAAAGGATTGTAACTTTACTTTTACGCCCACTTCTGTGACTACAGCAAGAAGAGAAATGAGGCTTCAATTATATGGTGAGATGAATCTTAATTTGCAAATTTTAATGGCGGCATGGAGTGATGCAGACATTACCCTGTAGACACACTCCTCATTAGGCTGTACTGTGCAGCCGCCAAGTGCATTAGCTGGCTGAGAGAAACTAAATTGATTTAAGAATCCTTCAGCCCTACAGAACCTAATTTGCACTATAAAGGGATTGAAATTCCTTCTGAGTTATGTTTGCCAGGCACAAGTAGTTTCACTCATGTCAGAAAACATACATTCATGCTGCACATAAACACATTCTAAATTAGACTCATGATCTCAGCTGAAATATGAGGATCAAAATTACCTTCATACTGATTCACAATTACTCCAGGTGATACGGTCTAAAATAATCTCACAGTTTACTCACCAGTGGAAACTCATGAGACACCCTCCCATCAGGTGGGAGCTTAGCACCGAATCCCAGTGCAGGGAACATCTTATCACTGTCATAGTCCTGAATGATCTCTCCCACAGCCTTTAGAGCCATGGCATAGGCATTCATCTGATAAGGGTTCATGTAGTGTAGCGAAGTGGACTGTGATGGATTTCCTTTGGAGAGAAGAAAAGTCTGAGTCAGTGATGCACATCAGCAGGCTGAATGCAAACTGACAGCTGCACGAGGAAAAAGGATGAATTGAGTGAAATCCAGCAATGAAACCACCTGGTTTATTTTTGTGGATAGAGAAGGGGATTGTGCAAAGATACAATGGCTTTTGAGTGGGAGTAACAGACATAGAACCTACTGTACAAATGTAGGCTTTTGTAAATGTTCTGGATTTTTATTTTTTTTTTTGCTGATCATAACTGTCTCCAGATAACTACTCTTAGCTACTTAAAGAGATAAATATAATACAATTTGTAATACTCATTAGCTGCTTTCATAAAAGCTTTAAACAAATGTGTAACAACTATGACAGATTTTATGCCAAGTCTTTGTCAAATACAGATTTTTCCAAATGCTTAATATTATTAAAACCGGGACTTTGGCAGAGGCAAGGCTTCATTACCCGACACTCATGGAACATCTATTGTGCCCAGGTGTATGCTTGCAATATCCACACAAAAACACTAAAAATCAGTAATTATGGCAACTTCTGATGGGATTCTGATGCAGAAGCAAAATCAGGGGCTTGAATTTTATCTCATAGTGGGAAATGTTATTAAGTAAAAATAATCAAATATGATAGATTTTTAAATAGTCACAACACTTTAGGCTTTTGTCATATGTTTTGTATAAATTTAAAGATTTTTTTGTCACTGACCAATAATTCAAAGTGATTGTCAAGTAGATGGAAAATTACATGTAGCTATCCTTTCTTTAACCCCCCCCCAAAAAAAAATTGATGTGCATTTGCATTCTGCCTTCTGCACTCTAATGCTGTTAAATGAAACCCAGAGCATCCAGCTGCCTTCAGAAGTCAGATTATTATAGAAGAGAAAAGGACATAATAGGTGGATTTAAGGGACAGTAGAATCCAGCAACAAATAATGCAAATCAGGGAGCTTATACACCGAGGGAAGAGTGGAGCATTTTAAAGGAACTAAGTGAGCTAATTTATAAGAACACTGACAGCTATGGCAGAATCAGAGCTGGAAATCTGAGAGAAGATACATTATTAATACAAAGGCAGCTAGAACTAAGACACAAAACAATTTGGAAAGAGAAGAAGGAGCTCTGACAATGTTATAAGAGCATAAAACCAAAATGCAGAAGAAAGAATAAAGAGAAACTAAATAAAAAGGTATCGATTTACAATAGCAAATCAGAAAAGACTTGTATGATCAGAAAAGAAGGACAAAAGAAATGAGAGACAGACACTAGTGGATCATGACATGGCTCTAAACACATCATCCCCATCATGACACACGGTGGTGGTAGCATCAGGCTATGGTGGTGACTTTCTTTACAAAGGAAAGGGAAGCTGTTAATAGTGTTTGGGAAGAAAGATGAAGCAAAACACAAGGCTGTCTTGTAAGCAACCTGTTTGCAGCTTTAGCTCTAGGGTGTTAAACTCAAGTTCTTGAGGGCCGGTATCCTGCAACTTTTAGATAACCTTGGTCCAACACACCTGATAGAAATCACTTAATCCCTCAGTATTCATTCAAGCTCTCCAGTCATGCTCTTGATCTGATTATCAGACTAAAGTGTATTGAAGTAGCAACACATCTAAAAGCTGCAGGACAGCATCCCTCGAAGGCTGGAATTTATCACCTGTGCCTTATACTGTGCCTGAAGCTCCCCTACTAGCAGGACAACAACACTCAGCATGTAGTTGACTCCCAAAAAATCTTTTTAGATAGAAAAAAAGTAATGTTAGACTGATGTGTTTAAAGTATATTATTGCATTTGATTATCAAAAAATGCCACCAGAGACACTAAAAGGTGTTAGTGTCTAGTGTAAGTGGAGAAGTAAGGCCATCCATTTGTGTAAAGAGGCCACACTTTTCAGATTTCAAACTGTAAAACAGCATTTGAATGAAAATAGTTTTCCATTTGCTGCAGAATTATGCACAACTATGTGTTGTACATTGCATACAATTCCACTGATACACATATGGAAATAAGAATATAACATAATGTATAAACATGTTTTAGCGAGTATGAGACTGTGTTTTACACATAAACCACAACTAATAAAGGCAACTATTTCGAAAGCAAAGATCAGAAGCAGAGATAAAACTCCAGCAGTATGACAGTCAGACATCTGATGATAAATGAAAGCAGAGCAGGGTAACTGCAGTCAAAACACTCACCGTTTGATGCAGTGAAATCAATGGCCACTGTGAAGTGAATCTGAGTTCTGAAACACATGAACAGGAATAAATGTTAACCAAACGACAGGCAGGCTAAGTCGACACTGGTATCTAATGAGGCTCACCCGGGTTTCAGTATCCTGCATGCTTTTTCTCTCATCTGAGAAGTGGTGGGACAAAAGCACCCCCGAACTCTCATGTTTCACTTTTATTATCTAGTTCGAAGGCTGCTTGTTCAGTGCCATGGCCAATTTGGTTAACGAAAGATCTTGTCAACTGAAGGATGATTGATGCAACATACAGGGTCACAGATGATGGCTGAAAATAACAGTCTTATTGGAGGCACACAAAGTGCCTGCTGTTAAAAATGCATTTGTTTAAGTCCCAAATATTTCAGTCTGGTTTTGCCAATCTTGAAAGCATTGTTTGTGTTTGTTTCTTTTTAAATAGTGCATCTGTTTTCAGAAACGCTGTCTAAAAATGAAATATTTCTTTATGATAAGCTGATTTTAGTATATTATTCTCAACCTCAGTGTTTATTAATACATTTACCCGAAAACGAATTGTTAAAATGTGTTCAATTTAAAGTCTTTATAACCCGTGCTTAAGCTGTACACCATTCACACCCCTAAAATATTTATTTGTATCAAACAACCTTTTTTTTTATTTACTGGAAGTAGTATTTATTTTAAGCTAACCCAGAGAGAATCCTAACATGAACCTGATTGAAATCTGTGGACAGAGCTGTTGAATATTATAGTTGAGGTAAGGAGATCTTGAACATTATAGACTTGCAGCTCATTGCAAAAGAAAAACATGTAAACACAAATGCAGACATACAAAAATCTGTCTGGCAATTTTTAGAATAATCACTTGTAATTCCAAGATCTTTTTTTATATAGATTTTTTGGAAGTCTACAATTGATAACAGTGGGGAGTGGTGGGCTAGTGGTTAGGGCAGAGAGCTTGGAATTCTGTGGTTTTGAGTTCGAGCCTCACTTCCACAGACTGCCATTCTGGGTCTCTGACAAAGATCCTTAACCCCACACTGCTCTCAGGGTGCCCCACAATGGCAGCCCACTGCTCCCCAAGGGGATGGGTTAAATGCAGAGGTAAATTTCTTCAGTCTGAGATCAATATAGTGCAATTATTAGACCATTTTTAATTTTTCATTTAGATGAAAACAGGTAAAAAGTTTCCAAAAACTCCTTGGAAAATGTATAATTATCTTTAAAGAGATTGCTGTCTCTTTTCATTTTTATAAACAACCCTTGGTTGAATAAACATAATCTAAATCTAAATTTACCAGCAGTATGGAACAATTTGGGCTTGATATTTTGTGTACATACAGAAATTTTAGCTGAAAATTTTGATTTAGGTATTAATCTGACAATATAAAAGATGAATAATAAATTAGAAATGAAAAAGAACCCTTAGTGAAAAACAAAACAGAACCTTTTTGCTGTGTGAAACTGTTGTAATAGAAGCATATACCTTGAAAAGAAGCTAAATATTGCTTTAGATAAACAAAGGGTAAGGGGGGGGGGGATCAAAGTGTGTGCCCTTTCATTGTGATTAACACTGATTGCCTCCTTCTGATTCCACCTCCATTCAGATATTCACACATGCAGAATCAGAGATAATGGCGGTTTCCTCCTGCAGTGACTGACCTCAGCACATTAATCAACATTGATTTGGACCATTCAGCAGGCAAAGAGGGAAGCTTTTCATTTGCGACCCTGATCTAAAATGCTGCTGATTTCTGCTATTACTTTGAAATGATAATATGAAAAGGAAAATCCTGTGAGCCAGCACTGGAGCAACATCAAATGAGAGAAGAACATAGAGAGTTTGTGCATTTAAAAATATCTAATGAGCAATTACTATTTAAAACCCTGTGCAATAACCTGTTTTTTTATATTTTATATACAAGCATTATATATATATATATATATATATATATATATATATATATAAATACTCACAACATATTTGCGTCTGTAACCCTTTATGTTTTTGCTAGGTGCTGGAATATATTTTTATGTTTCTATAAATAGACTGATTGTTTTTTTTTTATTCATCTCTCAGTGAGGAAATTCACAATAGATCTCTTATAAATTTAAATTCTTCACATAGAGACTGCTTTTATACAAAATCCACTACATAATATATTTTATACATTTTTAAGTCAGAAACGCATCTCATAGAATCAGCTAATATTTAATTAAAATTTTTTGTCAGTGGATAAAAACTTTATCTTTTTTTGTTGTTGTAATGAAATCTGAAGCTTAATTATTGATGATGGGTACGAAACTCTGGCTGAATATTTAGGTCACATCAGAAGTCCTCTCACTTACTGTTCACTGTGCACAAAAACATTTAAAAAAAAATGCTTGTATAATGCATGTGTGAATTCATATGACTGTTTTAAGTAGTGGGTAAGTGGGGAATTGTTTAAGAGCTGAGCAAACTACTTGGGGACTAAGAAATCAATATTGAATAATGTTGACTGATGGGCCAGCATTGTCAATTTTGCAGGCCCATTAGCAAACAACAAGAGACTCATTTAGATAAGCTACTTCAAACCTGGTTATCCTCAAAATTAGGACTTTTAAACAGAGGTAATTATTAAGTTGTATTTCCTGCCTTAGACACTATTCTCTAAGGTGTATTACTCACAGGACAAATTAATATGTCCCCATTACGTCTTCTAATTGGCCAGCAGTTAATGCATCAAATTTTCTTTTTTTTTATATATCTCAGACAATTTATGTTGAATTATTCTCAGATTAAATAACAGCTCTTGCTTCCAGCTTTTATATCATATTAAATAGCTATTCGCAGCTATCAAAAATACCCTGCACATGGAAAATTGCCTTATCTTCATTCTCTAATTTGACAAATATTAAATGGCCGCAATTTTAATTTCGAAAGATATTTGCTTATTGATAGAAAACTCATGTTAAACTCACAGAATATTAAAAAAAAGTCCAAAAAAGAGTACATTTGTTAATAAAATTAATAAAATTTTAAAGAGTGTAGTGCAAACTGGGCTTATGAACAAAAGAAACAGAGCCTCATGCAACATGAATGGATTGGGAAACTATGAATATATAAAATATGACAAAATGTACAAGAGTTGCCTCGTGGTTAATTTATAATTACATGAGACTACATTCAGAAACAGATTAAATCAATAATTCTTTATCAACTGTTTCAGTTTCTTTGAGCCACAGGCACTGTAGTTCAACCAAAATAGAAGAAAAATAATCAAATGTTCTTCAGGTTCTGGATGATATGCATCTTCATGCTACAAAAATAGAGGTTGTTAAAATTCACTATAATTATGGATCCACTTCTTTTTGCAGACAGCTTCAAGTGGACACAAGTTACACTCATATTGACTGTTAAACCAGAAACAGAAGTACAAAAAAATCCTGCAAGCCGAAAATATCCATCCACCATTCCATTTTCTAACACGCTTATCCCAAGTGGGATCGCAAGGGGTGCTGCTGTCTATCTCCAGCTGTCTACGGGTGAGAGGCGGGGTACACCCTGGACACCTCCCCAGTCCATCGCAGAGCTTAAAATATCACTGAGAGAAAATTATTTTCTTACCCTGCCCAGTAAATCAACTTAATGCTATTTTAAAAGCAATTCAGAAACAATGGTTTTCATGTCAACACAGGTTAGAGAAAATCAGACTTTAATTTCTAGTGGGTTGGGTTGGTTTGTTGCTCTCACAGGAAAATCAGCTGAAAATTAACACCAGGGAGGCAGGTTTTACCTTTTTCCTTTTATTCCCTCCTGAAGGATAGATTTTAAAGACTTAAATATTAAATTTAAACCACTGAATGATCTTTTGCATAAGTATTTTTAATATCCATGGTCAGTTATGAGCCATGCTGATTCTACAGGTTTACAGACAGATGTTAACTTATTAGTGTTCCTTGGATTAAAACACATAAAAAGAGGATGCAGCAATTAGTTATAGGCAAGTCAACTCTGCAACAATTTTACAGACAAAAATAGATACACATTAGAAATGGATAAAATCAAGAATGAAAAAAAAATATTTTTTTCACACATTGGTAAAATTTTTCTTAATTAGAATGATGGCAGAGAATCGTCAAAGATATGTTAATCAGGTCAACATATTTTTTCATCAGATATTGCTTTTATTTGAATTTGCATGTAATTGTGTTATCTTACTATAAAGTGAATTGTCTTAAATTTTGCTTCATTATTTTTCAACAAAGCATTTTGAAAGGCGCTGTCATGGATGGTGCTGTATAAATAAATAAAGTTGCCTCGCCATTTTTTAGTCTATTTTATACACACTACTACCGGAGAAAAACTTCATTAAACATCTGTATTGTTAGGCAATCTGAATCCCTTCAAACAGGATAAGCTGAAAACGATTATTTTAGAAGGCTTGTTCAGCATGAACTAGAAAGATAGCAGAGGGCAAAAATAGTGATAAGCTTTCTATTTTCAAGAAAGTTTCTGGTTCATTGGGCAAAAACTAGGGACAGCTGTCTCATGCATACATGCAAAAAGAAATGTTCTGCCTCTGCTTCTAGGTTAACTCAAACATGTACTGTGCTGCAATAGCCTCATGCCAGACTAAAACACCAGGTGGCATTTAAAAACCAAACAAGGCAGCACACTTTACTACTATCTCAAATGTTGAGAAAAAGCAATTTGACATACAATTTCTATGACCTAATAAAAGAATGGCAAAAATGCTGTAGCAGAGAAGCAAACAAATTTCTGTATCAAACATTGTAAAATAAGACGAAGAAAACAAATGGTATTATGCAGCAACATGCAGCATTACTTTATCTAGTTTTATTAGCTTCAGGGTAATTTGAGAAGAAGCAATTGAATGGTAACATGATCTCAATACGATAATGCTATTACTCGCCTGATCAAACAGATTTTAAAGAAATATAAAATTTCCATTAACCTTTTTGAATAAGAGCACTTTACAGCTTTTGGGCTTTAATTATCTCTGTTTGGCTATATTTTTCTCCAACTGAAGGTT